TTTTAATTTTTTCCATCTTTCTCAACAAGATTGTAAGATCTTGGAAGGATAGGATCTTAAATTTTTTTATATAGTCCCTGCATGAGGTTTTCCACCTAGTATTCTGTAACCACTTGAATTTCTAAATGAATAAATGAATGTAAATAGAAAATAACAAATGATTATATAGTAGAAACAATAAACTTATCTCTAAGAAAAAAATGATGATGGAAAACATACTTGGGAATCAGATGTGCCTAGGTTAAAAATCAAATCTTTACTACTTAATTTTTTGACTTTAGCTGTTTTACTTCATTTTTTAAGCACAAGATTTTTCATTCTGTAAAATGGAAATCGTGATGACTTCTCTGGAATCAGATGAGGAAATCAATGAAAGTACTTGACACAGCATCTGAATTTCCAGGGAATATAAATATGATGATAATGCTGTTGCAAATGCTGTATTTTTAGTTTGGTTGTCTTGATCTTCTTTCCAGGTGAAGCATATATGCGCTTAAGCAAGCTCCCTGAAGCTGAGCATTGGTATATGGAATCTCTGAGGTCCAAGACTGACCACATCCCTGCTCATCTTACTTATGGGAAACTGCTGGCTCTAACAGTAAGTAACTACCTTCCTCACTTTTTAGAATTTAGTTTTTTCCATATGGGCTGAGATAGATGAGGTTCGAAGTACTGTTTCCCAGCCAGCTAACTCTTGTTGTCAGGATATAATGATGGTGACACAAAGTTAGAACCCTGTGCAGAAAATATAGAAAAATGTATGACTTTGCCTATGAGGTTTGGCCTAGATAAGTTATATCAAGGATCATAGTCCCTGCATGAGGCTCTCCACTTAGAGTCTTAATACTATGATCTTTGATGTAACGTAATTGAAACATAAATGGAAAACACCAAATATGTTATTACACAATGGATTTGTCCTACTATCAACGTTCGCATAAATACTATGTTCTACAAGCCAGTGTCAGCCCCAAATTGGCCATAATTAGAACTACATCTGATGCTTTCAAAGAGCCAACAACAAAAAACTTTGTATGTGCTGAAATTCCCTTTAGTTGAAATCATTCTGTAAGAGAAGTGGGGCCATCATTTGACTACCCACTATATAACAAGCACTCTTTTATTATTATTATTTCAGAATATTACAGGGATACAAAAGTTTTGGTTACATAAATTGCTTGTGAACAGTTTGAGTCAAAGCTGTAAGTGTGCCCATCCCCAGATAGTGTGCAGTATACCTATCCCCTCCTGTCTCCCACCTGCTTGATTTCCGATGAATGTTATTTCCATATGTGCACATACGTGTTGATTGATTATTTCCAACTTAATGGTTAGTACATACATTTGTTTTTCCATTTTTGTGATACTTCACTTAGAAGAATGGTCTCCAGTTCCATTCAGGTTAACAAGCACTCTTGGAAGCAATAGTTCCATGAAAGTGGTGTTAGAGTCAAGCATAAAAAATTGCTAATATTCTACCATTATGAACTATAAAATTTTATGCAATTCAAAGTAATATTCATATCTTTATTTTACACGGTGGGGAATGGTTTAAAAATTTAAGTAAATTTTCTGAGCTTCCATAGTTAATAAGTGGTAGAACTAGGCTTTTAGGCTTTAATCCTAGTCTGAATCTAATATCTGTGTTATTTAAGTTATACCACCTAATCTCTCTTCAGTATTAATAAAAAATAAATAAATATTGGGCTTTTAATGCTTAGCTGAACTACATACCTAAATGTATTGAATAAGAGGAGTGGGTGAACATAAGTCAGACATTTGCTTCCTGTAGCTTGCTCCCCTAACTCATAATAAACACTCGATGAATGATTGTTATTATTGTTATTATTAAGATCCAGTGAATGGTGACCTGAAGTTTTTCTAACTTGTAATGAATGGTACCTAAGTATCAGTTTTCATGTACTTGCCAAGATATGTGACTATATTACATTACTTATAGACCCTTTAGTATTTCTTATCTCACACAAGCTTTATAAATTATTATAATAAGTTGCTTGTGAGTTCTTACTGAAGAAAATGGGACGGCCATTAAATATTTAACAAATTAATAATGTTTCATTTCAAAGTAGATTTTAATAATAGATTTCTGACTTGAGAAAAAGGTGGCACACTTTCTGAAATGATTTTTAGACCCTAACAACTTAAACATTACAAAGATTTAAATTTCAAAAACACTCTAATGAAGGGTTCTTTCATACTCTTTTTCTGTACAGAAAACCTATTGT